CTAGATTTCCCTCATCTTCCTCCTATGGGAGGTGTCATCCTGGCCAGCAACCACAAAGTTAAGGCTGAGGGGTGTAAAGGCCCTCTCATGTCTCCACAACCACTTTTCTCACCGCCAAACTCAACAGTTCACATGGCCATTAGGGACAAGAATTGCCTAAGCCTGCACTAGGGATTGTGAGAAAATTCATATATCTGGCTAACCACATGAACACCTTCCCCCCACAGCAGCAGCAGCTATTCCTGGGTGGCCCAGGGCACAAACCCTACCAGTTATGCCTCTTCATACAGGACAATCATCTCCAGGAACAGGGTGGATACTGGATGACTCTGTGGCAGCCAGGCTCTATTTTTAAAACCCTAGGAAATACAGACAATGACTTCAAAAGAACATTACAATAATATATTAAAGGCACAATAGCAAACTACAATGATGCAGAGGTAATGATGCAGAGACCAATATGGCTGCATCAGGAGCTACTTCATGACTTGCAAATCTGGAAGGAATTATACAAGACTGGAAATAAGGACCCATGACTAAGGATGAGTATTTAGGAATAAAGCGACCATAAAAGGCAACAAGTGAATGTTCTATAAATACATTTAAAGAAAGAGGAAGGCAAAGGAAAGAGACCCTTATTAACAGGAAGAGAAGAATATGTCAGATGATGCAGAGAAACCCGATGTATTCAATGCTTTAATCTTCACAAGAAAAGTTAATTGTGAGCAAATACTTTACACAGGTCATTCTGAGAAAAGCACAGGAGCCCAGGCCAGAAAACTGGACGATTGGTTTAAAGAATATTTAGATAATGTAAATATATTCAAATTAGCCTGATGGAATTGACCCTAGAATAGTTATCAAGATAGCTGTTGCACTTTCTGAAATGTAAGCAATTATCTTCAAGACCTCATGGAAAATGGGTTTGGTCTTGGAGAACCAGACAAGGACAAACATAATGCCAAACTTTGAGAGCAAAAAAGGAGCATCTGGGCAATTATCAATTGTTCAGTCTAACTTCAACATCTAGAAAGATACTAAAATAAAGTAGCACATAATAAAATTATGGGCAGCGAGAGGATAATAAAATGGCAGTGGCAGACTCAATGCACCTAGTATCATCTGTTCTTGGAAGCTTGGGTGCCCTGGCCTTGGCTTGTACTTGGACAGCATTATACCTTGACATTCCAGCTGAAGTCAATACAAGCCAAGGATTTGTGTTCAAATATTTAACAAATGCTAGACCCTAGAGCCTATGTAAGTGGTAAGACTTCATTCTGGCAAATTATTGCTGCTGAGCTGACAGATGGGAATAAAAAGGAAGGGGGAAATAACAAGAGCAAATTCTGTCAAACTAATCTAATTTCCGTTCTTCTTTAAACTGTAGAATCCATTTGCATTTCCTTGGAAAAATGGCCTACTGGGTAAACAGAAAGTAACAGATGTGATATGTCCTGACTTTAGTAACACTTCTGATGCTCTCCCACATTACAATACTATATTAAAGGCACAATGGCAAACTACAATGATGCAAACTAGAGAATAAGGATTTCACTGTAATGAACTGAAAGTCTGCACTCAAAGTGTAATCATGAACAGAAAGACATTTTTACTGATCTCTCTTGGATCTAGCTCTATTTATTATTTTGTCAGAGGCTTAAATAGGGAACAGGAGAATGTTTGAACTTTCTGCTTATGTTGAGACACCTATTGCTATAACAGGGTACAGCCAGGGCTAATCAGTTTGCCAAAAGTGCAGTAAAGAGAGGGGTATTTTAGATTCATAGATTGTAAGGCTGGAAGGGATGTTGGAAGATCATTGGGCCCAGCCCCCTGCACCAAGCAGGAAAGATAACTGGGGGTCAGGTGACCCCAGCAAGGTGAATGTCTAGTGACCTCTTGACAATTCCCAGGGTAGGCGATTGCACCACCTCTGGAGGCAGCTTATTCCACAGTCTGGATACCCTGACTTTGAAGATGTTTTTCCTAATGTTGAGCCTGAATCAGTCCTCAGGAATTTTCTTCCCTGCAGTAGTTCCAGAAAGGGAGCATTTGTATGTGAGGCAGCTGCATGGAGAAGCAGCTTTTCCAAAAGACAGTCTTTCCAGAAACCTATCCACAAAACAGGTACAAAGCATTCAAGTCACAAAAGCTAGCCCCATCAACTGAATTCATTTCCACTGAATGTGCCTCACAACGTCACTGTTCCTCAACCCAGTGACTTCAGTTCCCTGGTAGACTCCCAGGGTGCGAGTGGCCAGGCAAGAGCTAATTACATGATGGCATGGTTTTCTGATGCATCTTGGTGGCACGGTTGGGTCCAGCATCAAGGAAGAATGGCCTAACAACTTCATAACAATTACCAGTAAATACTTTGGTATTACTTACAGTCCTTTGCTCCACACTATTGTCTACTTCTAGGACTGGTGGGCAATATCAGTATGTGCCAACATATATCATTTAACCTAGAGGGATAACTGGCCAGGACTGCTCTAGTGCAGTCTCCCCTCCCTCCTTCCCCCTGTATCTTCTTTCAGAGCTTTGGCTCTGGAGGCTCCACCAGCAGGCAGAAGCCACAGTTGGAGTTTGCTGCTCAGTTTGCTGTTGCTGAGGAGAGATATCATGCCAATTTTTTGCCACATATGCCCACATTGAGTGTCCAAAAAACACCCATTTTTGGCAGCAAAAATTAGACTGACATCTCCTGCCAGTAGCAGTGAACTCCACTGCTGCTCCAGAACTACATTCACCCACTCCCAGATGCTTCACTGCTACTGCCACTCTCCTGCCAGAATTGAAGCCAGAAAGCTGCTAGAGGAAGGAGGATGGGAGACAGGAGGGTGGGGCAGACTTCAGTCTGCTCCTGCCCTCCATGTAGTGTCCAGAGCTCATGACCTGCTCAATCGCCCATCATTACATTACTGATTCCCTCCAGTTATGCAATCACAACACAGAATATTGTTGAAGAGGAAGGAACTAGCTCTTATTTAAAGAGGAGTTGGAAAGTGGGTTTGTTTTATATTAAGTACATGAAACCAACAGGCAGGTAACACAGCTTCTGTCCCTAAGAGCCTAAAATCTAAAACAAACTTTGCTTTTACCTGTGTCAGGCATGAAGACCAACTATCAAATGTTTTGTTTCTGCCTTCGTTTTCTTTGGGCTGAGTGAAGGCTGCCTCAAAAACTTACTGCTATACCTGCCCTGTGCACTTTTCTCTGTTTGTTTTTTTAGCATTAGAAAACTCAGCTAAATGTTTCCCTTTTTTGGAGGAAGCTCTTGCAGATGTACAGCAAAAAGAGGCTTTGTGTGAAACTTTTAAAAATCTAACACTATTTTTATTTAACATAAAGCAGAAGTAAAGGGAAAACCGAAGGTTCAGTTCTCAGACCTGAATTACAGTTTAAACTTAATTCAGATCTGAACACAACTGACCTGTAAGTGGGCTCCTCTAACTTGTATTGCTATGTACAATAATAATTATCCACTTGTGCAGTTGCTTCAGTGGGAAGAAACCATTGAAGTATTTTGCGAATTACAGATGGCTTTACTTCATTTATAAATTTACTGTCCAAAAAGGAAGCCAGCACTATTTTTAAAAATCTGTATAAACAAAAGACAAATTAGTCATCAATGTACAATGTTCCTCTAACACAGACCAGCAAGTATTCATTGCATTGGCTAAATTTCTCCACTTGTCCCTGCTCTGTCTGCCTAATAGTTTCCCCCCAAATGTTTAACTTCCTTTCTTCATCCGATATTTCAAAAGTCTGAAATAAGTCTGTCTCCTTGGATATTCCACTACTAAAAAGTAATCATTTCAGATCCATATCCAGGTCAAAATTTTTTTGCAAATTCATGACTCAATGCCTGTAAATACGTTGGTAAAAACTTGTATAAAGGATTTGGTAAGAGCTTCACATTAAGAAACTTCCTTTTGTTCTCAAAATTGAATGTGCTTACTAGATTGGACACATTTTCTGTGTAGAGAGAACTGCTATCATATCTTAGAGCAATAGTCTAAACAATATAGCTACTAACATGCTGAGAGACCAGAATACTGCAACACATTAACTGATAATAAAATATTTTCTTCATGCTCCTTCGCTACTTACCACTATCTTATTTCATCCTATTCTAACCCATCAATGAAGCTCTTTCAGATCCTGTATAATGGGGAAAGTAGTATAAAGTTAGCAGATTTCCAGTGTGCTAGTTGTTGCATGCTAACTCATGGTACAGACGCACTTGGTGTATATTATGCGCATCCACAGGAAAACTAGTGTACTGTAACGCACACTAGAGTTAGCTTTGCACTTATTTTGTTGTATAGATAAGATTTAGTGTGATCTATTTTCAAAATACCCTTCAATCCAATTTCATGCCTGAGCACCCAATACCATATATTATTTCTTATACTTGTCAGTCCCAGGCTACCCTCTAACC